GATCCCTCCGTGTCATCATTTGGTCACCTCCATAAACTAATTCTCACCGGTATAAATGAGACACTGTCTGGCCCCCAAATCCCACAGTCCAGGCTGCCTGGACCTGCTGATGGCCTGGCATTCAGTGCTGGCTGGATCTCTGCATCTCCTCCACAGGGAGGGGAGTCACAGTGAGAGTCCAGATAGCACAGCCTGTCCACATGCCTGCCCCAAGGTGCATGGACTCACATCTCTGGGCCCTCATCTCTCATCACCTATGTCCTCGTCCCCATCTAGGACAGCCAGGGCTCCAGGGCAACCTTAGTTCTGGGGTGTCCCCTGCATCTTGCCGGGGCACAGAGACGGCCCTGCATGAGGAGGTCACCACACAAGGTTATAACCCTCTGGCCAACAAGTGTGACAGACAAGGTCTAGACCAGGGTTACATGCGTGCTGCCCTGACCAATTCCAGCAGCAGACAGCCTAGCCATACCAGCTTGGGGTTTTGAAAATGGCTGAATCTGAATGCCCTCGGGCTCCCCCAGTCCTGCTAGTGTCTGTGACCCCTGCTCAGATAAATGTAGCCGGAACTGGAGGGAACCCTAACAGCCTAACACCACACTGCACGGCTGCCCTCTCTGGCCTGACTGCTGCTGACGACTGTGTCCAGGCCCAGGCTGCATAAGGCTGGTCCCTCACTAGGCAGCCCAGGCCTGTGCAGCTGGGATGGTCGTGGGAGGACAGTCGCTTGGACGGATGCAGCCCATTATCCTCCCCAAGAGCCACACAACCCCAGGGCTTCCTTTGAGCCCATCGAGGCCAAGAACCCAAAGGACGTCTTCCAGCGGCCAGTCCGCCGCTGCACAGGATGCCCTCTCTGCAGAGGGGGAGGTGCCCCTTGGCCCGTGGGGACCCTGCTCTCAGTCTCTATTCAAAGATGCCAAGGTGAAATCAGACCACCCACCTAAGACGCCTGTGGTGAGGACAGGGACTCATCCCAGAGGTTCAAGGCAAAACAATGATGGGCTCTGACACAAACACAATGAGCAAGTTTGGCCCCAAACAATCCTCCCTGGAGAGCACCTCTGTGACTCAGACATCTTCGCCCCAAACGAAAAACAGCAAAGAAGCTCAGCTGTGTCCGAAATTAATGATGGAAGAAAAACATTTCTTGCGACCTCTTTGTGCGTTTTCTGTTTTACTATAGCCCACCGTTTCCAGCCACAAAATGAACGTCGGTCCTCGGCATCCACCCCACCCCTTGGCTGAGAAGAACCGGGGTGCAGGGCAGCCCCACCTGCAGCGACGAGGATGTACGGGTCCTTCAGCAGGGTGGTGAGCGGCGTCCCCTTCTGGCTCTGTCGGGAAAACAGGGTTAGGAGAGGCTACGTGGCCACCGCCGCACCCCCCTTTGCCTGCTGCTCACCTCCGGCTGCACCCGGGACGGCTGGAGCACAAAGAGCTGAACCGCTAGGAGAGGAAGCAAAGAAAAG